TGAAACCAAGAGCCAGAGCGTGGTTTGGTCCAAAAAAAGGGGCGCCGCCACCACTCAAAGCTCGGCGAATCCGCTCTGTCAAACACACCATGTTTGCCATCTTTTTCAACATGGATGGCATTGTTGCGTCAATTCCGCTAATGGAGAGGAAAACTGTGACCTCTGAGTGGTACACCACTCAGTGCCTGCCTGAAATTTTTTCTGCGATGGCTAGAGGTCGGTCCAAGAACTTGCGAAGGCACTTTTTGCACCACGACAATGCGCCAGCCCACACGGCTAATGCGACCAAGCGTTTCATTGAAGAAAGTGGCGTCAACGTTTTGGACCCTCCGCCCTACTCGCCTGACCTTGCACCCTGTGACTTTTGGCTCTTCCCGAAGCTGAAAGAACCCCTGCGAGGCCACAACTTCGAAACTCGAGAGGAACTGATTGCAGCTGTCCAAGAACAGCTGGACAACCTCCCAAAATCAGCCTTTTGCGAGTGTTTTGCGGCGTGGGTCAGAAGAGCCCAAAAGTGCATTGAAGTTGGCGGCGAATACTTGGAAAAAGTTTAAGGAGGATAGAAGTACATGAGAAAAATACAAAAAAAAAATCCTTGGCTATTTATTTCGAGCGATTCCGCGCGGAACCCAGACAACCCTCGTACATCTATATTTATGATCACCGGATTCTCCGATGGTTCATCTATTCACACGTCTCAATGCTCATCCACCATTCCCGATGCTTGGTCCAATTCCTTCCGAGAAGATGCCGTCTACTGAGAAAACAACCTATGTTGCTTGAGCTTAAAAGTGTTTATACTGAGTTTTCAGTCCTTCCTGTTGGTGGACGAGGATCAATCAAAAAGTTTGGAAATACCTGTTGGACATCGTTTCTTTATACCTTATGCTTTTCAAAGTAGTCCCCTAGCGTGGTCATCCCATTCTAATCGCGCCCATGAAGTTGCTTGAAGCAGGGTTGATGATCAATTTTGCAACCACTTTCAATGAAATAGGAATATATATTTTATTATTTACATTAGTTTATAAAAACAACAAATCGCAATCAAGCAGCATAAATATAGATGTATACTTGTCGGAAGAAAACATCATTCGTTGTTAAAGGCGTGCTCATTGCAATCCTTTGGTTTTCTACTGGGCACCCTGTAGTTCAACGTCTCCTACTCATTGGGTAAAATATGTCAATATGACTTCATAAGATCAATTCCAGATGACAGATCATTGTGGCAACTCAACTTCATTTAAGAGGCAAGCTTTCGCAATTAGAATACTTTTTGCACTAAAGAGATGAGGAAATGGGCGTCCGTGAAAAAAAAAAGATAAAACGTGGTGGCATGCGTTACACAAAGAAGTTATCAGGTTGGCACAGGCTGAAGCTCCTCGCTCCAAGGTTCGGATAACCTCCCGCCCGAAAATATTTCAATCCTGTCGTGAAAATCCGTGAAGTCGAGCTTCTTGCTGTTTCTTCTTTTCCTGGTGAATGTTGAGCTTGAGAACCGGGATGGGCTCCTATCTGCCATGGGATTCTGCAGCTGCATCTTTAACCAGGAGCACTCCCGCAGCCTACAAAGTACGAAAAATGTGAAGAATGCTTACAGTTGTTTCCTCTGACTAGGATATACATTATTAACTCTTATGTTCATTTTTCAGTGCTCCGTCATAACTACTGTAGACGCAAGCCCTGTTGAAGTTCGATCCTGCATGCTTCCAGGTTATTTGGCGAAGCCGTGGATGTTAGTGAGATGGAATCTGACCTCAAGTTCGCCAACGTTCATGACAGTGACGTATGACTGCGTCGATTCAACAACAGTTTCCTTCGTATGGGTTCGTCGTCAAGGCCATTGTTATTAGCTTATTTGCACCTTTCATTCCTAACCTACTCTTTTTTTTCAGCCACTTGGTTTTAAAGCAAACTTTGATATTTTTACATGCATCCATGGAACTTGTAACGAAGTTTCTTTATGCAATTGAAGATGGATTTCAAATACAGTACATACATTTAACATTAATGGTGAAAAATTATTATTATTAAGAAAAAAAGGGAAACAAAATTACAGTACTCAGCTAGGAACCCCATTTAAAAAAAGGTGACCATCATTGGTTTTGCAGAAATGATGGGCATGTCAGTGTCATTTGCTGGTATTACGCTTTCAGGGTAGAGCGATGAAAAGAAGAATCTCATTGACATTGTCCTCTCAGTGCAGAAAAAAAGTACCTGCAGGGGAGTACTTTTGAAAATGAAGGTGGGGAATCACAAAAGTGCTATCGAGAGAGAATAATCATTAATGGGATTAGCAACATTTTTTTCTAAAAAATTGAGCCTCTGTTATATTACACCTGCAAGTAGCGCCTTTCAAACTCTCCCAGATTAATTAGCCCTGGTTTCTAATCTCCTCGTCTCGTGATGGGAATTGCACCAACATTTATGGCGATGACTTCGTATACATTTTTGCTAAGATATTCCATTCATATAGAGTTCGAAAATCTTCGGTGCCTGTCGACAGGGAGATGATAAATAGCGGGAAAGCACACACAAAGCAGCCGAGCGTGCGGGACTGGGTCTTGGAAACAGAAGTTGCAACACGCCGCCTCCATTCATACTCCAACATCCAGTCTCTACCTGTGGCTTGAGGGCTTAGTGAAGCAGTGAAGTCGCGACGTAAATCCGACTGATCGAGCAAAATGAATCCAATAGCTCCCACGACTTGCAGAATCGAAATGGAAACATCCACGTATATCCACTTAAAAGATTCTAGAATCTTTTGAGGAAAAAAAGAGATCACCAGAGCGACAAGTTGTATTTAAAAAAAAAATTAAAAACCCCAAAACCAATCATGCCAACCTGTTCTCAAGCTCCAGACTCGAGAGCATACCTGAAACTTATACGTACAAAAGAGGATCGTGAAGAGCCAAAGGTGTATTTAGTGTTAGATATTACATTTTTGAAATGTTTCCATACCTTTCGGGACACCCTGTATATGCCACGGGGTTGGAGCAGGGCTGTGTCCACTCGAGCGTGCCAGAATTGGTTTGAACGGTTCGCGTTGAGAGACACCAGTCTCAACCATCGGTGGTGCATCCGGAGGAATTGCTTCTCCTTAGTAGACATCCGACACTCGTCAGACCACGCGCTGCCTAGCAAGTACTCAGGGGTGCAACCAAAGCACTATCCTTTGCCAGGTTCATTCGCTTGGAAAACTGCGTAGACTTGGATCTTGGGGTACCTCACGTTCTTACGGCCACCATCACCACTACCTCGTACTACGATCAAATGGAGAGACTCGCAGCCAAACTCAAAGAACAGCGCCCATGACGCAAGAAGGTACACTATCTTCACGGTAATGCACAGCCACACAGCCAAACAGACCTAGCAGAAGATTCTCGAGTTAGGATGGGAGCTGCTACCCCACCCAGCGTACTCCCCAGACATCTCCCCTTGCGACTGCCACGTCTTCAGAAGCCTGCAGACCACTTGGATGGAAGGAAGTTCGATGACAGGAAGCACCTCAAACAGGACCTGCGTTCATTCTTCAACTCCAAGCCTCCTTCCTTCTACGCAAAGGGCATCCACGCTCTGTCCCAGAGATGGCGACATGTCGTGGACCACGATGGTGCTTATAACATTGATTGACGTTGTTCTTATATTTCGCAGCAAATTATTTATACAAGTATCAAAAAAACGAAAAGACTTCTGCATCAACCCAATAATTTCAAGAAAATTACGGGGAGCCGATATTCATCTGAGGAGGCAGATGAGCACCGAAGCAAATAATCAGTATTGTTAAAGGATACTGTCAGATCAAAGGATGCTCCTTAACAGGCTCGGCGCGGGAAAATGCGGGGCCTCCTGCGGCAAATACATTGGGCCACCTCTGGGTTCCGGAGATTTGCCCCTTATGTAACTTCGATAATCGAAAATGAAGTAAGGAAAAAAAATGCAAATAATTAAGCAAGGAAAGGAGAGGAATCTGTGCAGGTTGTCCAAAGAATTAGCGTTCGTATCCTCGGAACCTTTGCCACCAGCTCATCGACCACTTTTCTTGTAATTCAATGACCTGCTGACTTCCCTCTCGATCGAGTGTAGCTTGTCCTGTCGGGCGTTCTTGTGACATGCTTCATCTTAGATAAGTTATAAATTATTTCATTTTGGAGAAGTTTATTTCTGCAGATGCAACTCTCATTAGAGCTGCGAGTAGCACTCCAAGAACGATAGACACGTTAAGGATACACGAGCCTAACTACTCTTGTGAATTAATCGCGGAGTTCCAAGAGCATCTTGTGGCTCTGGTAGAAGTGTAGCCTGACTGCGAAGCTCATTGACGAGGTCGTGAGCTATTGAGATTAACCTTGGCAAAACGTGTCTAAACTTAGCATGGGTATGTATCATCGATGATTAAGATTGCTACCCGTTCATAATTAGAATTGAAAGTACATATTTCAGACGCTCTGTAGATACTACAAACTGGTCACTGGTATAGACACTACTTTGTCCATATTATAAACTTGTTGACATTTTTTAAATTAATAAAGCTTAATAGCAGCTAAAAACGGCTCTCATAGCCGCAAACACAAGTGTACTTCGAATATTTGTGCACATATTCATTTGTCCATATTTTGTTAAATTCAAATGTGACAACATGATCAAGGGAGACAAGCGAGGAAAGGGATGAAAACGAGGTAGACCTTTCTACTCGGACGCCTTTTTCACCTCAAGTGCCTCCAAGCTCGAGGATTTCACACGGGAAGGATGGAGGAATTAAAATACATAAGAATACTTTTCGTGAATTGGGACGGTGACGGATTTCGCCCAGCTTGGCCTTCTCGCCTGTCCAGAGTAGTGAAGACCTAGGAATATTCTTCGTCTCATTCAGAGCTTGGATCCCTTTCGGAATAACTCGCGGCGTTTCAAAGTTTTTTCTCTTTTCTTTCGTTCTTCCTATCTTATTATTTATTTCTTCCTCTTGGGGCCCCTGGATTCTGCGTGAACCCCGTGCTTTTCGACTTACACTTCGCAACGATTGCTTTCCTACTGGAATGTTTAAAATGAGATTAAACTTCATGTTCAAATTGATCAACATGAGGATCGCACAGGAATAAAGAGCCTACGAAACGAAGACACTGCGCTTCTATCACAGAAGTGACTCATGCAGTTGGAATCCGGCAGAACTTATCTGAAGGACCATGTCTGGCGCGGAGCAAAACGGCACGCCACTCTCCACCCGCGTCAAGCGAGGACGGCAGGGTGTTCGACCAACGAGGGCTGCGATGAAGTCAGTGATGGCGACGGCGAGATGGAGAAGTTCGAAATTCTGCATCCGCGGCCTGTCAGAGTCCTGCGCAACATGGAAGTGACTTCCGTCTGCAATGGCCATTGGTGGATAAACGATGACTTGCCATGATGCAAAGCTGTACGCATCATGATGCAACAATAACAAGTCTCGACAAGCAACGTCAAGTTAGCTTCGCGTGCAGCCACTGCATCATGCTGCGGCGAAAGAAGCTCGCCGTGATCTCTAGACCAGAATTGAAGATTATCGATCCCGTCCCGCATATCTGCGATGAAGATGAAAACCCTTCTTTTGATTCTGGTGAGTATCTTTCAAAGTCGACGTAAAAAAAAACCTATTTCGGCAACTGGAATCGCTTGCATTTAGCCGATGGATTTATATATATATTTTTTTTATGCACATAAGTAAATGATCGTTGATTTTTAAATATGATATATTTACACTTTTCTATCATGAGTAACTCCACTGGCATATTTCATAAATGGCGGTGCAGTTGAAATTCGGTTCCAGTATTAATTCAGACTAGGGTCTGACTGAAGTTTCACTGTGCACATTTTTGTGATAAAGTTGACTCAACTCAGTCAACGACTGAACTGCAGTTTTGAAATTAACCACTGGATCATGGCGTCTTCATTTGGTCGTCTATACATTTAGGCAGGGGCTAATGCGTCTTATTTCAACTTATATTATCGGAATTGACGCTTCTTAGCGAAGTCAAGGTCATATATAAGGTATTTCAGGATAATAAATGATCCAACGGTGACTCACATTGATAAGAGAGAGTTCTTGCCTTTCTCTAGTCACTGTTCGACGGCTCATTGAAGCTCGGCACCCACCTCTCCTGCCCCTCCGAGATCTCCTTGTTAGCTCCCACGTCACCGAAGCCACAATGAGGGCATTCAAGACTCTGGAAAGGTTGAGTGACATCCGGTAATCGCTCGAACAAAGTTAAAGCTTGAGCTCAGCTAAATTGGGGTTCCCCCGAGTGAAAGTGGGCATTTGGTACGAACCCAAGGGAACTTTGTCTCAACCATTGGGCTCAAACACATAATAGCTGAGTCTGCCCCACAGCAGACTCCGATTAAGTTCCTTCCAACGGCCATTTTCCTTCCACAGATTCGTAATGAAATCAATTACCCACATCGTAAAAAAATTCGTATTTTTTTTTTAACACGTCGTTAATACTTCCGCCTGAGAATATGGAAATCTCGATTTCCCCATATTTTCTAGTAAGCGATGAAAATTGTTCCTCATCCATTCTTCTTGTAGTCCCCAATACAGTAAAATACAGTAAAAACTCGTAACTCGGACTTTTTGGGACAGGCATAAATCGTTTCGAGTTATCCGAAGTTCGACTTATCAGGAATTGCCTCTACCAGTAAAAAAAAAAAAAAATTACTCACGATAAGGGATATAAAAGGGTGATTTTTCCGTCCTCAAGAATCCAATTTCAAGGAGAGGCGACCTTCTCATTATAATTGGCTTTTCTTCATGTCTAGGGAAACTTTGATAATCCATATACGAAACTCATTCATCACAACGCCCTTCGTCCGGTACTATACAGTATAGCAGAAGCTTTTCGGTTGTAATCCTCTCCACTATGCGTCTGTGATGGGAGGAGGGAGAAGCAGAAACAAAAGAATTTTCTCCCGAAGAGGTTTCATGCCCTTCATCAACTCAAAAATCCCCAAATTTTTTTTTCCCCTTCACACCCCGATTTTGAGTTAACCAGGAGGAAATCGTAATCGGAAGTGAAAATGTCGTTCGAGATATCCGGAAATCCGAGATAAGCGAATTCGAGTTTAAGGTACTACGGGAACATAAAAATCGACCCCCCTGGATCAAAATTTGAGGTCCCTTACAACAATTATAGAGCGGAATTTTGATCCAGGGGGGTCGATTTTTATGTTCCCGTAGTACCTTAAACGGAACATGTCTTACAGGATTCGGCCAGGACCAAGCATTGAACTTCGAGATAAGCGGAATTTCGACTAATCAGGATTCGAGTTAACGAGTTTTCACTTCCGAGCCTGCAATTATGGTAAGGCATTACATGCACGAGTTGTATAATGGCATTTCTGGAGATCGACCCCTAATCCAAAAATCCCACTCTCATCTGAACCAAAGAATCTTGCACTGGAGCGCATGTAACAGAGGAATACCCGTTCCAACCATTCCTAAAGGTCTCCTGTTTCTTTACTAGGTTCTTAGTTTCCAAATGATCGATCAACTTGAGGGTCAGAAGGATGGGCCATCATCAGCCGAGGAGTTCTGCAAGCAAATTTTCAACAGGAAACGAGGAGCAGTGCCGAATCCCACTTCGCACAAGGAGTGCGGAGAATGCCTACCAGGGTAGGTTATATTCATGCTCAAGCACACTATGAAGGTCATGCTTTACCAGTTTTTTCTTTCCATGACTAAAGGATTGAGCTTAACCGCTGAAAACTCATGAAATCGGCCGGATTGGTAAAAAAAATAACCGTTATTCTACCTCCGGTCAATCGTCAAGAGCCAGAGTAATCGAGATAATTTTCCATGTCCATCCTGCTTTTTTTCAGGTTCTACGCGGAGCCGGTGCATGGCGGAGTCTTGGAGACTTGTGACAAAGAACCTGATCGTACTTCAACCTTGCAAAAATCGACAAGTTTTCCCCAGAATGGCACTTCTGAATGGGATGGAGCCGTTCCGCTAGGTCCTGGTATGGATTTTTCTTTATTGGAGCTGCATGACTAATGTTGGACACCAAAAATTTAAAAAAGATTACAATCATTGTAATTACAGTGATAGTGAAGCATGACCATTCTGTGTCGATGAAAGTCGACGCAGACCAAAAAGGGGAAACAGCGTTCTCGAACAATCCACAGTTTGAAGTACCAAGACCCTTCCAGGACGAGACAGGATTAGAAGCAGGCCATAGAGGAAGCGAAGAATCATCCGCGAAGAATTCAATTGCCACTCTAGCTGTGGTTTCAGTTGCCACTCTTCTAGCCGTAGTTTCAGTTGCCATTCTTCTAGCCGTGGTTTCATGTAAGTGTCAATTCTTCTGGCTCTCGTGCACCAGCCATTATCAGGCGCTGGGAAAATTTTTCAACATTCTTACGAACCTGGTTTCTTAGTCGTCAGGAGAAATAAGACTACGTGCGATGAAGAATCACCAGAAACCAATGACCTCCTCAATTCCAAGCCTTCCGCTCCCGATTCTGAACAAGGCGAGTGAGACTTGCAGTTTGAAACTGCAGGATATACCCTTTATAATATACGTCATCTTATATTTTTCTCTCTCGTCTAAATAATCCAGGAAAAGAGGAATGCATCATCATCACAAGTGAAAAGAAAAAAAGTATGGTCTCATGGACTCCCCAAATCGCCATCGCGAATAACTGGAAAATGCTAATCGAAAACATGGATGTGGAGGCTGTGGAAAACTACCTCATTGAGAAACGGCTGTTGGATATGTGCAAGAGGGAAGAACTCAACGATGTGAAAGTGAAGGAGCGCCGAGAAGCTCTGTTGCAACTCGTTCGCAAGAGGGACTTCAACTTCTTCCACGGCTTTCTCCATGGCCTTCAAGCTGCGCAGCAAGGCCATCTAGCGGAGACTTTGGTAAAGGAATGGAAGAGGTGCCAACGGAATTCAAAGATCAATGATTGTAGCTTTGCGGGGCTAGACAATTGCTTGTTGTTTCGAGGGGCAAGAAAGTCGCTGCTAACGAAGTTCGCTGACGCGTGCAGAGCTATTTCCAGTTCATGCAATACTCCCCAGAATCATGCATGCGAATGAAGTTTTTCTTTTCTTTTTTTTAGAGATCCCATCCCTGTACATTGTACTTATTTTGTCAATAAAGGAGTAGAATGAACGTAGTAGAATGTTCAGGCCTGCCTTCATAAAATGAGTATGTTAGATTCACTTGGGAATCCAAAGAGTTCAAGTTAACTGAAGGTGAAGGTAAGCTAAAATTTTCCATTTTCCCGTATGCTCTAAATCATGCTGCTCCGATCCAAGACCCACAAAAAAATTTGAAAACAGAGTCTCATGATACAGACGTTACCAAGCTTATACCTGAGAACCAGAAACTTGACAGCATGAGAAAGCAATGAAAGGACTATTTCTTCAATTATTTTTACTGCATCCATGAAGTTATCTTTTGCCCAGCCCTCAGCCAGCCAGCAGATTATGTCAATATCAACATGATCTACAAATAAATAAAACCATGGAAGAACTCGTCCACAGCAGAAAGTTTTCAATGCTATTTTTCTTTGCGTCTCCGCAAAGTTTGTTCCGCGCCACCTCACAGCTTAACTCGAATTAAGCAACGCGTCAGCGTTTACCAGGATCCAGCAAATGGTCCTTACCTGTCTTCGACATCATGGCTATGAAACATGAGCTACGACTCTGAACCAAACGCCAGTTTGCAATGTGAGACAAGTTCGTTGAGACTTAAAGAGGCGCGACAGCTGAAAGTCGAAGGTGGCTGATTGCATTCATTTGACGCTGCGGGGCTGGTGCGTTACGAATTCGTACCGGAATTGTTGAACCAATACTTCTAACCTGGATGCCTTGAATCGCCTTCGTAATGCCGTCCGCCGGATAACGGCGAGGAGTGGGAGGCCAAAAGTTAATTCTATAGCATGACAGCCCCAACCCACACCGCCATTTCCGTGCGATAGGGTTGTTGAACCTGTTTTCGACTCCAACTTCTTCCTCCTCCCCAAGTTGACATCAGCACTGAAAGGGGCGCGATTTGAAGACAAGTCGATCAGGAACAACGTGGCAAGAGCGTTCAACGAATTACGTTTAAGGACTATGTATCGGGAGCTTGGAGGGGCGTTGGACTAAGTGTGCACACTCCAAGTGGACTACTTTGGACAACTCTCAATGGCCCTCGTGGTGCACTGTAACCACAGGAAAATACCAACCCTCGAGCTTTTTGAATAGACCTTGCATGTGTATGTTGGAAGTTTAACAATCTTTTTTTTTTATACCACAAGAAATGGGTAAATAAGTGGGAAATGGCTGGACAGTACATGCAATTGGACAGTGCAATTGCTTATCCAAGAAGCCTGTATACATGGAAATTCACATGCACCACGCAATATAACCTAGTTCAAACTTATCAAAAGTGTTCTTAACATTCCATATCCATTCTAATGATGGGGAAAGAAATGGGTCAAGTGGAATGTGATTAGCAGTGGGGTGGGAGCAAGCAAGAAGAACTTGGAACAACCAAGTCATCTTAGAAAACTATTCATTGGAGGTTCTTCAGATTCAAAGGAGATTCTCTTTCCCTTGGCAACCTGCCAGAACTGAGCCACCCAAGGATCCTCTTTGGCACCATGGGATCAATAAGCATACAGAGCCACCATGACTCCCAACTTGATGACACCTAATAAAAACAAGAAATCACAGACCTTTAGCTGCATGTAAATTAATGAATTTAGGTATAGAAAAGCATCACACAGATCATATCATGCAATCATGGTGATAATTGTCACAAGATCACTTGCCCTAAAACAAAAGCAGTTACTCCAATAAAAGCATGAAAAAGGAATAACACAAATAAAACAGTAGAGGTATGACAATTAAGGCCAGGAACATTCAATTAAAAGATAATTCCATATTTTCAATTCCCATCTACAACCTGTTAAAAGACAAAATGCCAGTATTTCCACTGCACCTTAGCACATCACTGGGATTATTAAATGGAAAATGATCAATTCACCAATCCATTAATTCAATACTGAAATTCATAATCCCAGCCATATACGATGAGGTAACTGGCTACAGCGTTACCATGAGCGGCATGGTTCAACAGCGTAGCCTTACAAATCAGGAAAATAATCTCATTATAGCAAGCAGATGTACATACCAGTCATTTACTGGCAAATCCATCCACAATTCAATATAAATGATAAAATTCATGAAAAGTTATGATTCCCAGAGATCATAAGGCTATGCTGCTCCTATAACCAGAAAGAAGAAACACGGGGGCCCCCATAACAGCAGTCAATGCAACTACAAGCAGTTGATTAGCAGGTTAGGAAGCAGTGTTGTACCATGCAAAAACATGCCAAAGAAAACATCAACATCTTCAAATATAGAGAATAAGACATATGCAGAAAATTAAAATAAGTAAAAAATGCCACAATATCACAATTGGACTAAGTACAATGAGTTTCAATCAAAAACTTGATGCATTAAAGTAATGTATTATATTAAATTATAAACATACATTTCAAAAACTTGAACAGTACAAATTTTTTTGAATCAGCAAATTCACAGGATAATCCACTTGAGATAATTGCTATCAATGAAAGGAAATGGCAGTCATGAGCATGAATAACCCTCATAACCACAATTAAGATGAAACCTGAACCAGCTAATGGTATGATCAGTGTCTCCAGTTTTCATAATAGTAATTCTATAGATATCCAACAAAAATTTTGGTAGTGATGGCTTTTATGAAATACTGAAAAATAAATACTGTGATCAATAGGAAGTTGCGCTGTGACATGCACATTGACATAGAACCATGACCATCAATGACAATATCATCTCAACCAAAATAGCCTGCAAGGGAACATGTCAGTTAGTTTACCTCCATACCTCCTGCAATGGGGGAGGTCAAGAAACATTATCCTACACTTTCACAAGTGTATAGGAATGGAGGAAACCTGAGAACATAAGATATATAAGGAAATAAACACACCTGGGGAATTTCCCAACTACCTGCAGAGCAATATCTTGGAAGCAATACAGTTGGGCTCTGATGAGAAGTCAGATGAGAAGTCCAAGATGATTATGCAAAACTGCTCAAGGGCCAATGTACATGAAAACTGCTTTGCCAATAGGGATCCTGCATTTCACCAAGCCTCGCACCTGTTCAATGAGAAAAGAAGCACAAATACTATGGGAAAATAAATAATTTCACTTCCATCATAACAGGATGTTGTACTCACCTACCACAATGTAGGAGTATGTTCCTGCTGTTGGATGTGCAAGTTGCTGACAGGACTCAGCATAGTAGCCTGTATAGGTATAGTAGCACCCACAGCCATAGTAGTATCCTGTAAAAGATAAATAAGGAAATCCTCAAAGAGAAAAGAACTGTCATGAAGAACTGGGATGCAAATTGGAGTCTGATACTTAAAAAGGTCATTAGAACATAATTAATTGTTCACTCACCATAATACATGAAAGTGGTCATAACAAAAGAACAACTTCATTATCAGAGGATGCATCTGGCTGATATCCTGGGAAAGAAAATGTTAAAAATTAGGAAATATAATGAGCTGTCCACCCACCATTGTCATTGACAAGACAAATTATTACAATAACCAAATATGGGGTTAATGGGCTTAACCCATAACCACCCAAGTTTTGAAAGTCTGATGGGCCCAATATTACCCACCCTGTTAACATTTATTGCAACAAATTACTACAATATTCCATTCAATTATAGAATTTAATTAAGTTTACTTTCTTAAAGTTATTACAAAAAGTCATACTTTATTTCTATTGTATTTTCATCAAGTATAAGGAAATTATCAGAAACGTTATCCTTTTACGGTGGTAGGGTAGGAAAAATCGACCGTCTGGGATTCGAAATCTGAAAAGTAATTGTTGTAGAGAGTCCCTAGGGAAGTGCAACGAGGGGTCACACAGTCACCTCCGACCCATAGTTTGGCCAAAAGTCACTGCCAAAGTTGCCGCTAGGTGGCCATTTGATGAGTCGAATTCAAACGATTACACCTTGGAA